TGCCTTTGACTAATTTTAATAGGGGGTCTTTGCTAATTTTTTTAACATAACGGTTTTTTTAGGAATTCGAGATTCCACAAGGGTGGTTTTTTCAAAAAAACTTATGTTCTCATTATGTTTATTTAAAAATACAAATATTAAGGATAGTTCAGTCATTTCGTGGAAATCAACGACCAATTTCGAAAAAAGAGACAGTGTGCTTTGTAAATCATAACATAGGGGGTTCTTTGCTAATTTTTTAACATGAATGTTTTTCCAGCAATTCAAAATTACACAAGGGTTCTGTGCAATTAAATCAACTATATATATCTGGTTCCGTGCGATGATTAGGATTCTTCTTTATATAATTAGCCCATTTTCTACAATGACCAGAGTCCTTTAATTGTTCGTAAAAGAAACAAAGGAATTAGGGAATAGATAAATGATCTGACTTCTTCGGTTCAAATTTCGAAAAAAACGGTTGATCGGAATATTTAAATAGTTAACCATAGATTTAAGAATGATTACATAACTGAGAACTTGTATTTCATCATGTGCAGATGAGATGAGTGGAGTGGGGAGGAATGCAATCGTATAAACGTGAATACCCGCAGTCACACTTACTATTCGAGGAGATGTAAATCGAATTTAACAAAATTCGATTCTCTTCTAGATGAATTGGTGTTCGCGATTTTTCTACTTCTCTCATCTATATATATTTGTAAGAGATTTTAACATGTAGCACCCGGTGTAATCTCTAATGGCTAAAAATGCCCCTATATCAAAACAATTAGCACATTCCCCCATGTGCATAGTCAACGCCATTAAGGCCCCTACGATATTGTGTGATACACTCACCAAATATGCAACTGGGATTTGATTTTTTTGAAGTGAAAAGACCCAAATATTGTACATTTAAAAAACAAGCCCCAAATAAAGTTTTTAATTTTTTCAATTCAGTCCCTTAAAGTTTCAGAAAGACCCTCTTCTTCCTTAAGTCAGGGTTTGATTTGCAACTTTCCAAAAATACACTGAATATAGCTTACCGCCGCTCTTTTTCCGGCAAACACTCTCTCCGGCCTCACCTCCCTCCATATCCTCAGCCTCCGCTTTCCCCCACCACTCCAACATTTTCTCCAACGAAATTAGGTTCGGTTTGGAGTTAAGATTCAAGCTCCTTATTCTTCTGAAAAATCCATCACCAACCTGTGAAAATCCAAGAAAATATTTGCCCCATCGAAAACAAAGCTTTTTAGAGAAAAAAATCTACGAAAAAAACTATTTTTTGCATTTTTTTACGTCTTCTACGACGTCTCCTAATAGTAGACCACCACCATTATGCAAGGTACCTGATGCCTCCGGATCCAAACCTCCCCGTTATTTTTCTTCTTTTTATCGTCTTCTCCGACGATGGTGGCAATTAGGGCTTTGGAGGTGGTGGCGATTAGAGCTTTGGCTAGAGTTTAGTAATTTTGTTAAGCTAGCTAAGATTCTAAAATTTGCAAAAGAAGAATCGGCTGGTGTGGAATTGGCTAGGAGAAGTTGGCGGTGGAGGGGACGAGAAGTGCAGAGAAGGTGGGTGGTGGAAGGGAGGGGCGGCGGCTTGACGAGGTGATTGCCGGTGATGGCGGTGGGAGTTTGCCGATGGTCGTGACAATTTCAAAGGGGAATAAGAATTTTGGGGAAAGGCGCAATTTTCTCTCTCTTGTCTTTTCTTTTTCATTTTTTTAATAAAAAAATGTGTTTTATTTCTTAATTTAAGAAATTTTAAAAATTGCAATTTGAACCAACGTTTATGCATTAATTAAACTTAAATTCAATTCGATTTTATGTTTGGAAAAATTACAATTCAGTCCCCTAATATAAGTTTCAAAAGTTTAGTAAAATTGCAATTTGGCCTCTATTATAAAGCCCAATCATTTTTTTATGTGGTTCTCCGGTCAAACTGTAGTCTGAACTCTGAACAAACTCAACAGAACATAACAGAAAGAAAGAGAGAGCGCGCGAGAGAGAGATTAAAAATTTTTTACATCATTTTTCAATTTGATTCTCCGGCGCCGGCGCCGGCGCCGCCGCAGTCATTGCTGTGATCCCTGTCTGAACATCGTTCCGACTCTGATGGCAATTAAAGAAGAAGGAAACTCGGAGGTACTGTACTATCTCTTTTATATCCATTTTTTTTCTTGCGATCGAATTCGAGGCAAGAATCATTCTTAAACCCTAATTGCATTTCGATCCTCCTTCTTTATTTAAATTCCCCCTTTTTTTTCTGCAATAGTCAGATTCCTTCTTCATTTAATATTGTTCGTAAAATCAAAATGATGAAATGTTTGATCGAATTGTATTTCACCATGTGCAGATGAATTGGGGAAAATGCAATAGTGTATACACGAATACCCGTACTCGACCATACTATTCGAGGAGATGTAAATCGAGTTTAACGAAATTCGATTCTCTTCCAGACGAATTAGTTTTCGAGATTCTTCTACTTCTCTCGCCTAAAGATATCCACAACGGGGCGAGGCTCGTTTGCAAGAAATGGTACGAAACAGTCCACACCCGTATTTTCAGATACGAACACATTCACCGTTCGACCGTCGGAATCCTCATCCTGAAATCTTACTGCGAGTACCCCTTTTTCGTGGCGATGCGTGAAGGCAGAGTCGAGGTATCTAAATTGAGGTACAAGTTCGGAATCGAATCAACTGTTTGGAGTAGTTGCAACGGTTTGATACTCGACTTCGATTCGAAGAAGCGTAAAGCGCTTTATACTTTAAACCCTGCAACCAAACGTCGATTCTATCTCCCTCAATTTCCTAGTCAATGGGAAGACCACAATTACTATTATTCCGGTATAGCGTATGCCGAGGCGTCGATGGAGTATAAAGTCGTTCGCACGTATTACAGTTGCAGTAAACGAAACTGCGTTATTTTGACCGTCGGAGTCGACGAGTCTTGGAGGAGTGTCGATGCAGAACACTTGTCGGACGCAGCTAGAAAATCTCTGAGAGATATTCCGTTAACTACCGATGGTTTTGTTCATTGGTTTGGCAGAAACGATGTCGTAACTTTGAACGTAGAGACTGAATTTCTCACCGAGAATGCCGTTCCTCGAGGCTATGGAGAAGGATTGAAGTATTATTTGTCGATGGGGAGTTCTTTGACTTCGGTCGTTGCTTGCAGTGAATATTCGTGGGAGGTTTTCGAGTTGATACTAGAAACCGGAGAATGGAGAAAGATGTACACGATTGACTTGGCGCGACAAAGATGCAAAATCGAACGGTTTGTCGGTGAATGCTGTGGCACGCTCGTACGACCGAGTAACGTTGTCCTCAAACCAAGGGGTTGGTTAAACGAAGAGGTGTTGGTTTTTCATGTATATCCGTCTCGGGTTTGCGTTCTCTACGGTGTCTGTACACGAGAAACTGACTTCTTTGAGTTAGATTCCGATTCGTATTATTACTGCTTTGAAGTTCATAGGAACAGATTCTGATTCTGATTGCTTCGTGAATTTTTCCGTCGTAGGTTTTGATCACACTGTAGCTAACGATGATTAGTGATATAAATAGAATTTTGGTGTGCTTGACAAGCATTTGTCTGCAGGTTTCTCTTTGAATATTCTTGCTGACCTGGATTTTGATTCGGATTTTACATTGCGTAGACTAATTACGATTTCGGCACAACCAATTCAAGAAAATGTAAAAATCGGAACTTTGGAAATGAAAATGAAAATGTTCGTTCCCAAACTAGAAATTTCTCCGATCCAAATCATCAAAATTCAGAGATTCTATTTTTTTCACCTATAATAAAAGCACATATTAAAATTATAATTATAAGTGAACTTTTTGGAAACAAATCGAAATTTATGAAAATAAAAATTGCATTGAAAATCGGAAATTGGTAATCAAAAATTTTGGAAATTTTTTAAAACGAAAGATTTTGGATCAAAATCGACGAAAATCGCTGATTTCGTTCCATACTAAGATATTCAGCCTATATGGGCTTAAAGATAAATCGGAAACAAGGTCGAATATTTTGAGCTTCAGGCTCTTTCCTGTATCAAACCGAAAAAAAAAGTTCGAATATTTTGCAAGATCTCAACTTTAAGCTTTTTTCCTGGAACCCATAAAAGCCCAAAAATTCCATTAAAATGCTCAGAGTATACACTGTAATTTAATTTCAGAAAACTTCCTAGAAAACTCCCAAAATTTGAATGTCCTAAAAATTGCACGTTACCCCATATAAATAACTAATTTTCGCACTTTACCCCCTCGAAATTTGGAAATGTAAATGTCCCCCTTCAAAATGTTATTCTTGTTGCACACTGGAATTGCATATATTTGTTGCACGTTGCCCCTTTAGATGTTATTTTTGATATAGCTTGCCCCTTAAAACCATTATTTTTCTGCACATTGCATCTTTAAAATGTTACTTTTATTGCACAAGGGCAAGGCCCAGCAAAAGTTTGTTTTTGGGGCAAAGTGCAACCAAAATAATATTTTAAAGGGGGTTATCCATTATTTTAATTTTTAAGGGGAAAGTGCAAAAATAAAAATAAAAAATTATAGGGGGTGATGTGCAATTTTGTCCTTATTTTGAAGCCGAGTCACTTTTTTGTGCGGCACTTCAGTCAAACCCTAAAGAATTTGTTTTACATAATTTTACATTGCGATTAATTTCCAGCCGCCGCGTCGGTCGACGCCACCACCACCACCGCCACCACCGCCGTTAACATCTCCGGTTCTGATGACAAATAAAAAAAGAAACTCGGAGGTATACATATTATATCCTTTTTACTTGAGAATTACAATTTGATTTTCCGTTTTGTGCTCCAAATATTAATCAATGGCATACTCGTAAAACTAGGTTTACTAATTTGCCTAATTTCCTGCATGTAGAGACCAAATTTCGTGCTTCAATTCAATCCAGATAAATTTCTCAATAAATAAACAATCCGATTTCTTCTGTTAATACAGTTTACTATATTTGCAAATTAGGGTTTGTATTTCATGTGCATGCAGATGAGTGGAAGCACATTGAGTTGCGGGTATGCGAATTTCGGTAATCGTCCGTATTATCCGAGGAGATGTAAAGATCGGAAGAGTTTTTCGACAAATATAGAGTCTCTTCCCGAAGAACTGTTGTTCGAGATTCTTCTACTACTCTCATCCAAAGATATCCACAATGGGGCAAGACTTGTTAGCAAGAGATGGTACAACATAATCCGTAACCCTAACTTCGTAAAAGCGCACCTTCGCAACAATCCATCGACCGTCGGACTTCTCATCCAGAGTTACGATGTGCCCGGGGATCCAGCCTTTGTGTCACTGCGGCGAGGAAAAGTTGAGGTATCTAAATTGAACTACAATTTCCCTCAAACAATTTGGAGCAGCTGTAATGGTTTGATACTAGAATTGGATCTCAAAACACAAAAGGGTGTTTACATTTTAAACCCCGAAACGAACTTTCGGTTTGATCTCCCTCGAGTTATTTGTGAACCGGACGAGCATCTTGAGTATTGTATAGCATATTCCGCAGCTTCCAAGGAGTACAAAGTGGTCCACACGTCTTATTATACAAAGTACTATGGTATTCCCAAGCTACGATACTGTGCTATACTGACTGTCGGAGTCGACAAGTCTTGGATGCACGTCGGTACACAACACTTATCTGCCACAGCTAGAAATCTTCTCACCGGTTTTCCGTTGGCTACCGAAGGTTTTATTCATTGGACTTCCAACGAGAGGCTACACACTCATGTTCTGACTATGAACGTAGAGACTGAAGTTATTACAGAGAATGTTGTTCCTCAGGGTTACGGAGAAAGCTTCGGGTATTATCTGCCGATGGGGAGTTGTCTAACTTTGTTCATTGAGCGCAGTGAATTTTCTTTCGAGATATTGAAGATGAAATCAGAAACGGGAGAATGGACTAAGTTGCCCAACGTTGACTTGGAAGGTCGAAGAAGCAGAATCGAACAGTTTGTCAGTGAATGTTGTGGGTCCCGCCAAGACGAACCTAGATATCTTATACTCGAACCAGGTGGTTGGTTAGATGAAGAGGTGTTGGTGTTGCATGTTTCTCCAACTAGGGTTTTCGTTGTCTACAATGTTCGTACGCAGGAAATCGACTTCTTCAAGTTTGATTATGATTCTGGTGGTTACGGATTTAACGTTCTTAGAAAAAAATTATGATTCTTGTTATCGCAGGTTTTGATAGATCGTACTGCAACTAATAGTATCATAATGGGTCGGTTGTGTTATTTCAAAAGGTTCCCCGGGGACTTTTTGCTAATTTATTTAACACAATGGGTTTTCCACTATTTCGACTATTTTGAGATTAACGCATTGGTAATTTTTGCAGTTTACTCTAATAAAAAAATGTGCCCTAGTTATACACTATTGACTAGCTCCAATATCAGAAGGATTTGAATATCGATCAAGATACTAATTGCATTGATATATGTTATATACTTATCTTTCCGGTTAATTGAGTTGGATAACTTGGGAGTCAAGCAAGAGAGTTGACTGAGAATGCTGAGTTGATTCACTCGAGCTTCACGTTCACCGAAAGGAGAACGCGAGTAATGTGTTCGTCTTTCCTACAAAATATGAGATTTTGATATCTGTTCTAATTTTAATATCCATGAATAAATTCAAAAACTTTGATTTTGTTTTCTTTTTTTTCTCAAAAAAAGTTACATGTATAATATCGACTCGATATTATCATGTGTTTCATAGTATTGGTGAATAATATATACTCCCTCCTTCTCCAACAATTAATTGATGTTTAAGGATTTCTCACACATATTAAGAAATTCATTAATTGGTCTTTGATCTGATAGTGAAGTTCAGGATCGCCCTTTTATCAACGAAGGGGAAATTTAAAACGTGAAATAAAAGGGGAAACAAATTATTGGCTAAAACGACGATTAATTGAGGAAGGAGGGAGTAATTATTGGTTTGAATTACGTGTGCTTCAAACCGCCGCCGGCTCGCCACCAACGAAGGGATCCCAATCTGGAAATCTCTCCGACTCAGAAGAAAAAGGAAGAAGAAGGTAATTCAGATATGTACTGTCTCTTTCATATTTCTTTTTTCTTGTAAATTCCGGGCAAGAATTACTCGTAAACCCTAATCAACTTTTGATTGTAGGTTTTGCCTCCCAAATTAACATACTTGTCAAGAAAACTTCTTCGACGCTACTAATTAGCAAAATCTTGAACGTTCCGATTCCACCGGATGAAAAGGCGAAAATAAATTTTGCTAAAGCTCATATCACTAGCGGAGCCAGAATTTAAAGTCTGTGGGGCCGAATGCATTAAAATTTTATGAAGGGGGCGTTAATGCTATTATACACAATTTTTTTCTTTTCAAATTTCAATATAAAATAATAGGGATTTTGAGAAACAATTCCCTATGCAACTAAATTTGAAGTTTCCTTCAGAACCGCCACCACCGCCACGGTCACCACCGTAACCGCCTCCACCACGGCCGCCGCCATAACGACCTCCCTGACGACCCCCATATCCACATGCAGTGTGCTTCGTAACACTTCGTAAAAAAAACATAGAGGAGTTCTTGCTAATTTTTTTAATACGAGGCTTTTTCGGCCATTCACAATTATACAGGGAGTTTTGTGCAATTAGCTCTAAAATTAAACAGATAATTTTGTGAATTAGTAAAAACAGTCCGACTTGTATGTTTAAAAGGGGTGAACAAGAAAATGGTTAATCGGCAATAGAAATAAAATATAGTTATGCATGAACCTTAGAAATGTCGATTTCAATGCCTATATTTTCATGTGCAGATGAGTGAGCGCAAATATAATTCCATGAAAACGGAAAAGAAAGCCGTTAATGAATATAGAGTCTCTCCTAGAGGAATTGTTGTTCGACATTCTTCTAGAACTCCCGTCCGTAGATATTAACAACGGGGCAAGACTTGTTTGCAAGAAGTGGTGCGATATGGTTCGTAGCCCAAAGTATGTACATGCACATTTTCACAATTCGACACATGGCCTTGTCGTCCTGAGTATTTACGAGAGAATGCATCCGATTTTTTTGTCATTTCAGAAAGACCGAGTCGAATCATCCGATTTCAGTTACAATTCAAATGCTTACTGCAGGCTAGTTGCAATGGTTTGGTAGTGGAGACCGGTACTATAAACATCCACACTCTTCACATCGCAAATCCTGCCATAAACCAACGCGTTGCTCTGCCTCCAATTTCTGTTGGACAATCGATAACCGAGTGTTTTTGTGGTATAGCATATGCTGCAGCTTCCATGGAGTATAAAGTGGTTTGCACATCCGATTGCATTTATACGCCTAACGGGAAAGAATGTGCTATATTGACTATCGGAGTTGACAAATCTTGGAGGCATGTTCGGACAAAACATTTATCTCGTAAACAATAGGCGACTTGAACGATTTGAAATTTGAATATCAAGAAAATAAAATGAAATAACTTGTAATTTTAATAAAAATATGTCATCTGACATTTTTTTGTCAACATGCTTCTATGTGGCCCTGTCTATACTATGCTATGCCGGGTGAAATACCGGTAGATGTTTACTTGGAGAAACAATAAAAACAAAATAAAAACGCTTCCGAACGTTGCTTAAATGTGTCGCCTTGTTTATAAAAAGGACAAAATGCAACCCCCCTAAATTTCCTATTTTCGCACTCTCCTCCACCAAAAAACAAAATTTCAAAAAAAGGATACTCCCCCTCGAAATATTATTTTGGTTGCACTTTGCCTCATAAGCCAATTTTTGGAGGGCATTGTGCAACAAAAATAACATATATATTAAAGGGTTAGCTTGCAAAAAAATAGTGTTTTTAAGGGGCAATGTGCAATAAAAATAACATTTAAACGGGCAACATGCAATAAAAATACTCAATTCCAATAAATAATCAATCCGAGTTTTGCTATCGGGGCAACGTGCAACAAGAATAACATTTTAAAGGTGACATTCACTTTTAAAAATTTTGAGGGGGTAAAGTGAGGAAATTAGAAATTTACGGGGGTGATGTGCAATTTTCCCTTAAAACGTGCCTCAATTTCTGTGTCGAGCTAGACTGTAGTGTGCAGAAACTCGACACAGAAGAACAACTGAAGAAGAATTACATTTTCTTTTAATCCGAATCTGAAGTAAACTCCGAGGTAATTAATTTCTCTTTTGATATTGTGTTTTCTTCTTGTTAATTTTGAGGCAAGAATTACTCGCAAACCCTAATTGCATTTTGATTTCCCCAATTTGATGCCCTAAATTAGCTAATTGCTCGAACTTTGTGTTTATTCTTCAATTGATTTTAGGTTAGAATGAGAGAATGAATGGCTGATCGAAAAATTGAAATAGTTAGCCCTAGATTTAAGAGGCAGAGTCCCATTACTAAGAATTTGATTTTCCCTAATTGCATTTTGATTTCCCCAATTTGATGCCCTAAATTAGCTAATTGCTCGAATTTTCCCAATTAATTTGCCCATAATATGTATTCCATCTTGTCCAGATGGTTGGGAGTAAATCGAATTGCGTATACGTAAACGGCAGTAATCGCCCTTACTATCACAGGAGATGTAAAGGGAAGATCAGTTCGACAAATATCGAGTCTCTTCCCGACGAATTGGTTTTCGACATTCTTCTACATCTCCAGTCCGAAGATATTCACAGAGGGGCAAGACTCGTTTGCAAGAAATGGTACAACACGGTCCGAACCCGTAATTTCAGATGCGCGCGCCTTCGCAATTCAACAGTTGGACTTCTGATTCATAGTTCGGGCGACGAGCGTCCAATTTTTCTGACACTGGAAAAAGGCCGAGTTGAGATGTCGAAGCTGAGTTACAAGATTCCCGGGAGAGTTTGGACTAGTTGCAACGGTTTGATACTCGACTATGAGGTTATGAGAGACGGTATATATCTTTTCACTTTAAATCCCGCTACGAAGCGTTGCTTTGATCTCCCCCCGTTTATTAGTCGATCTGATTCAAGCTACGATTATTCCGGTATAGCGTATGCTGCGGCTTCGATGGAGTATAAAGTGGCTCAGACGTTTAGTTCTAGGCTTAGGTATCCGTTTGTACGAGGCTGCGCTATATTGACCGTCGGAGTTGATAAGTTTTGGAGGCATGTCGATACCGAAAACTTATCCCCGATCGGTAGAGAGATTCTCCGAGGTATTCCATTGACTACTGAAGGTTATTTTCATTGGACTCACAGAGAAGGCACTCGGGTTTTGACTTTGAACGTAGAGACTGAAATTATTACAGAGACTCTTGTCCCGAATGGGTATGGAAAAAAAACGAAGTATTATTTGTCGACTGGGAGGTCTCTAACTTTGCTCATTGCATGCAGTGGATTTTCGTGGGAGGTTCTGAAGATGAAATCCGAAACGGGAGAATGGACGAAGTTGACCAAGGTTGACTTGAAAGCTCGAAAGTGCGAATTCGAACAGTTTGTTAGGGAATGTTGTGGGCCCGTAGTACAACCTAGTTCTCTTGTCATCAAACCGGTTGGTTGGTTAGATGAAGAGGTTTTGGTGTTGAATGCTTTCCCAACTTTGGTTTGTGTTCTCTACAAAGTACGTGCGCAAGAAATTGAGTTCGTTGAGTTAGATTTTGACGACGACGATCTCAACTTTCAAGTTCATAGAATCAGAATGTGATTCTTTTGAGTAGTTTCAACTTGTATTTGGTTGTATTAAAGCAACGTAAATTTACTTGCACTTGAAAACTAATGTTGTATGTATAATCAAAAGAAATTCATGCTTCAAATCATCAAAAAAAAAAAAATCAAATAAAACACAAGCTTTCTTAGTACATAAAAACAAAAGTTCTATCTAATTTATTTATCTAATAATATATCATGATAATAATATTGGTGTACCGTTACTCTACCAAACAAAATTGACCAAACAAAATCGGTATGGTACGATAGGGCACTATTACCGTCCGATAAAAACTTTTTTGGTAGGAAATCGGTTGGTGGTGCATTTTAGAAAGATAATTATTTGGGAAAATTACGGCCACCCCCTGATTTAAGGCCAAATTACGAAAAAAACCATCAGGTTTGGGTAATTACAGGCACCCCTCAACTATGTATTGACTTACGAAAAACCCCCTAAGGTAAATTTAGGGATGTTAATTGGGTAATACCGAACCGAAATTTCGGTACGCCAATATTTCATACCGTTTACCGAACTGAATTTACGATTTGGTCCGGTAAATAACTGAATTACATAAATTATATTGAAAATATTTAAAAGAATGATGGGCTGTAATTACCCAAATAAAAGGGTTTTTTTCGTAATT